CCGCAACTATAGAGGAAGAGATAGATTCAGTGGGAGACAAGGGTTTCAATCTAGTGGTGGTCGTGGTGAGAAATGGAAGCATGATTTATATCACGAGGCCAACAGGAGCCCAACACCGAAAAATGAAGAGGATCAAATTGCAAAGGTGGAAACACTTTTGGCTTCATAGGATTGAATTGGCATGCAGATGGCACTAGGTCTTTTATCTGCATATTTGCATAGCTGTGTCTATTGTTTCTTTAGGTGTCCCTTTTGCATGTTTAACAAAATTAAGGTACTTTCAATATAAGGTCTGTTTTATTGCTTTCTTTTGTTAATTGAAATTTCTTTTTGGGTAACCTGATGGGATTGCCAAAACATGTTAATGTTCTTATGAAATGGCTGAGTATTCTGTTCCACCCTCTTTTCTTTTCATTTATTTATTTACTTTAGAAATAGCAGCTTTTTATTTTTATTATCAACTGGCTTGGCTTTGGCTCCCTAGGCTATTCTCAAATAGCAGTAGGAAGTCTTCCCGGGGTACATTATAAATGCCAAATGAGTGACAGGATATTTCAAATAAAACTAACATGATATGAATCATCCCTTTACATGTGATATCAACCTAACCCCTATTTATGTCCAGAGAAAAACATTCAAATCAAAACCAGCAAATTCACAAGGATATTTAATTCATTAGGTTGTTTAGTAATGGCATCTTCTAGAGAATGCAATTTGGTTCATGCTTCTCTCGCCTTCCGCCTATAAGAATGTATGTTTTCAATGCAATAATTTTCTTTTTGGCAAGGGGAGAACCAGTAATTTTTCAACACATGACTAAAGTTATTAGCTTAAAATTTAATGCTTCTTTGTTTTGTTTTTTTTTTTTTTTTAATACTTGCAATTTCTATAGTTTTCTATAAATAAAAGTAAACATTAAATCATATAAACTACGCACATAAGGTGACACCACAATGGAAAAGTGCGCCAAACTCTTCCCCTCACCCCTAAGTGTACCCAGGTTCGATTCGTTAGTTTATAACTCCATTAACTAAAGTTATCAGCCGTCAAATTCAATTTTGATACATATTATTTGACATCTCCATTTAAAATGCTCTTAACTAAGTAAAAAAATTAAATATAAGATGATTATAGGCTTATAGGTTGAGTGGACATTAATTATTAGGTTACATTTGGATGGACAATGTTTTGTAGAGTAAAATCACATACAAATACATTTAATATTTTTCAAAGGCTACCTAGGCTAGAGCCCATGGTAGCCTTGTTACTAGTCCCCCCATGTTTTCGGGGTCAAATCATGTGTGTTTTTTTATATAAAATAATGGGCCAAAACATTCAACGTTTTTCATGCATGAAAAGAGTAAATTAGAATTTAACTTTTCTACACTTAATTATCTTGCGAAAACTTACCCATTTAAAAAATTCCTAAACTTCCACAGGTTACCCTAACTAATTGCATAAAACCTTTCAAAAGAGGAAAGGCAAAAAATTAAAATTAAAAAAAAAACCCTAATCTCTTCAGGATTCTTAGTCACCCAACATCTATATAAATCGACCTGACTTTGTCACCCTTTCACTATATTTTACTCATCACCATAACAAGAACTTCCAACGGCATAAATCTCTCACTATTTCATTATATTCTTCTCATCACCATAATAACCTTCTCTTCCTCCTTCGGCTAGCGCTTCCCATGGACCAATTGTCAGGATTGTGGTTTTATCAATCTCTCCTTCCGAAGCCAAACTTTACTCTTCAGCAAAAGCTCATTAAGCATGCAATTACTGAAATAGGGGAGGGCGACATTAATTACCCTATACAACACAGGCCCAGAATACTTACCGATGTTGTCCAGTTGCTCTTTCACATCCCTTCATTAGGTCTGACGAGGGGTAGGTTTCAAAAAGGAGAACCCGTCGTTTTGGTGATCAAAGGAACCATTCCCATCTTTTATAAGGGCCATCCTTACAAAACCCCAATCAAAATATGGGTTCCATTTGGTTATCCTAAGGACTCTCCGAAGGTGCGCGTTGTGGTCGAGGACCAAGCGATAATGTCAATCAAGTTACCTCATCCTTATGTCGACGCTGGAGCTGGTGGTCTAGTAAATGTGCCGTACATGCAGGCTTGGATCGAAGCACACTCAGAGAGAACTCTCACAGATCTGGTAATTAATATGTGTGAATGTTTTAGTGTAGACCCACCCGTTCGAGAAAAGGTGCTGCCGCAGCCGCCAGTCCCAGTACCCACGTTTCTCATTCCGCAGCCGCCTCAGGAGCAAGTGATGCAAGAGAGGGAGAGGCAGGAGGAAGGCAAGAGATGCAAAGGCAAGAGAGGCCGAGGTTGGGCTTGTGGTCTTCTTTGAATGTATTTTGTTCAATAGTTTATATTTTGTTTTGGTTCGTGAATTAATTGTTTCTTCCTATAATTGCAATTTCAGTTACTTTTAGTAGTGAATTGTTTAGTTTTACTTTTGTTTTTGACATAAACCCAAATCATAGAAAGATCACTAAATTTTACCAGAATTCGTTTCATTTCACGAATAATTTACCTCGTTTTCTTTGGAGAAAGGAGGAGGTATTTGGAGCAACAACCAGGACGAACCTAAAGCCAAGTATTCCCATTCCCAACGCACTGGTCCAAGTCCGACTTTGACGTAATCACTAACCCACCCAAAAACAAGATAAAATCGTATGTACGGACATGACCAGCTATGTGGCATCAAATTAACATGCGACACTTTTGAGTTATCAGTCACATCTATGTGGCCCCAAATTGAACCAACAAAATAAGTTAATAAAAAAATAAAAAAAATTTCCCTGTGCTAATTGAAAGGCTCATGCTTCAAGCTATGTTGTTAGTAAAAATTTAAGGCTTCAAATCCTCACTTTCATATTTCTTCAATGCTTTTTTTTTTTTTTGGTTAATTAAGTTTGTCAGTTGTTGTGCAACCCATTTGAACATTTCAAAAGCTTTTTAAAAAAAACTCTGATATTTTTCTGAATTTTCGGAAAAGATAACAACGTAGGAGAAAAATTGTGAAAGTGAAGAGAGAAGATGGTAAAGTTTTGATGCAGGGAAAGAAGGTGAGAGAAAAGCAGGTGATGTATAGAAGAGAGATGAACCTAGTACATGGTGTGCATTAATGTTTTCAAAAAGTATATAGTATTTTAAAATAAAATCATAACAGATGCATTTCTAATTCTTGTATTACTCATCATTCAATGATTGAGAAAGTGTGTCAAAATGTGTGACTCTCGATCCTGGCCCTATATATGAATTTATGCGCTTCATCCCGTGATAATTGATGTTAGTGTCTCCTCCATCGTGTGGGCCATTTTTATTAATTATTATTATTAAATTTATCTCAAAGAAAGGTTCTGCGAAATGAAGAAGCACTAGCCTCAATTATTAAGGGATTAACCTCAAAATTAGAGCACGACTGCTGCAAAAGAAGCAAAAAAGAAAAATCTTGTTTTATTGCGTGGGAGTGAAGAAACGAACTTAAAAATGTGTTTCATTTAATCCTTAAATATCACCTTTTTTTTAATGTTTCTTTTCTTTTCTCATTCGTACAAAAAAAAAACCCCCTGAATTTATGTAATTATAGACACTGCATTTGGAATATTATGTAGCCTCGGTCTTGAGCCAAGGCAGTCAGTGCGACCGGCCTGGGTCCCAGCTCAAGGGAGGGCCCCAAATTTTTTAAATTTTTTATATGGTCATATTTTGGTAACTAGTTATGTAGATATATATACACATCAATATTATCTTAAGTTGTTTTTAATGCACACCCAACTCAGATTCAATCCCAACATTATGCATCTTTTTTAATTTCTTTTTTATGTGAGTGCACGGTTCTTTTTAGTTCTTTACTTTTTGATTTTATCTTCAATCATTTCTTATATACACAAAATAAATTATATTTTGTGGGAGGTCTAAACTTTTTTCTATGGTTATAAAAGTTATATTTTTTAATATTCTACACACATGCGCAAATAAAATCAAATGATATTTCTTGTGTGTGGAGCTATAAATACATAGGATCTTCAACCATTTCTTATATACAAAAATTAAATTAAATGACACTTTGTCGAGCCTTAAACTTTTTTCTATGGTTATAAAAGGTTCCATATACACACGCGTGCAAATAAAATAAAATGATCTTTCTTGTGTGGAGCTATACATACACAGAATCTATTTTCGACACTGCCCTGAATCTTAAAAATTTCAGGACCGGCCTTGATATTATAGATTGGGTAATGGCTTCCAAGTCCTATAAGTAACATACTACCCTCTATTGAAAACCTAATTTCCCAACTGGATCCCTTCTTGCCTAACTACTAAATTACCAAATCAGATCAAAATCGAAGCTTCTTTCTTGTTTTTAGGGTGAATAGTTTTTGGGAAGTAATTTTCTGGGTTACTTTCAAATTTTTGTTTCTTTTTTTTAAGAAATAAGTTTACCGTTTTATCAATCCAACAAAGAAAAGGAAACATCTGGAAAAAAAAAAAAGGGAAACTATTTTACCCAAAAAAAAAAAAGAGAGTAAATTTTGTTAATAATATTTTTTTTATTTTTGGGAAAAAGGATTTAGAAACAATTTTTAGTTTTTTTATTATAAAAAGTTTCTCGAAAAGGCTTTAGAAACAATTTTTTACTCGAAATTAGAACTTTTATTTATTTATTTATAAAATCGTATTTTCTGAAATATGAAAACCTGTTCTTAATAGAACACCACCAAGCCGCCCCCAAATCAAAAACCTGAAAATTGAAGCGATGCGCAGCAGGACATTGCTTCCCGCCCAAATGACCGAGAGAGGAGGTGAAGCTGCCCAAAAGATTTACTATTTACGGCGTGTTTGGGTCCACTTGGCAATTTTGATTTCTTTTCTTGTTGAACTCGGAATGTTTGCAATTATTCCCTTTCAGACTAGGATTAGAAAACACAAACCAAACCTATATATATTCACCATATAAACAACAAGCTTCGTTTTCGATCTGATTTGGGAAGTTAGTATTTGTGTAAGAAGGGATTGAGGTTTGGTCCAGTTGGGATTGGGAATTTAGGGCTTCCTGATTCGAATTAAATTGAGGAATTCGTCCGTTCCAGGGAAACAAAATCCAAACTTTGCCTGCTAATTTACTCCCGAGAGTTGAATTCTCTCACAGGATTCATCGAACATGTCGAGAAGAGACAAAGCTCCTCCTTCAAGCTCCAGGAAGCGTAGCCAAAAAAGTAATGATATTTTGTTACGTAGAAGGGCTGGTAGAAAACCTGTACTTGCTGCTGGTGACGATGAGAGCTATGAAGAAGTGCCTCGGCCATCGCAACCAAAGCGACTTAACCATTACCTAGAAGTGTTGTATGAGAAAAGGTTCTTCCTTTCGAATTTTTTTTTTTTTTTTTTTTCTCTTTCTGTAACTCTCAGGGTTGTTATGTTGAATTTTCTTCGCAATAAATTTTGATGGGTTTCTTTGTTTTTGTTGAAGAAGAGGATCCAACCGAGAGGAGGCACTGGCTTCAATAATTGAGGTGTTAACTTGCAGATTAGAGAATGACTATCTGGAAGAGAAGTAAGCAGATTTTTATTTTATTTTCACAAATAGGTATTCTTGTTTTATTGCTTGAAAGTTGGAAGTATAACAGAAGCACCTTTGTTTTCTTGCAGTTTTGCTACCTTTCTATACAGGGGAGTCTTATATTCCCTTAAAGAAGGTTCTTCCAAAGAGAAGCAGCTAGCACTCCATGTTATAGGTTTGTCTAGCTCTGTCAAATAGCACATTTATGTGGGTTTCACATTTTTCTTGTAATGCTTCTGGGTCTCATTTTATCATGATTTTAGGTTTGGTGGCCATAATCATTTGTTGTGAAGAAAAACTCTCTGAAGCACGCAGAGAGTTGCTTCATGTACTTTCCAAGGCTCTAAAATCTGGAACCGCGACATCAAAGGTAGTTTAATACGCTTGATACGCACCTAAATTTTATTAATAGGACTTCTCCAAGATGTATGAATCTCAGACTAAAAATGTTTTTATGCAGATGTTGAATTGTTTGGCTATTGTGGGTTTTTTCGGTTCTACTAACTCAGAGGAGACTGAAAGTGCCATGCAAATTATTTGGGAGTTCATTGATCCTGAATCTGTCAATGATGTATGTGCACCTTTTAATTTTTTGTTTGGTACAATTTTTTTTTAACTTCACTTCACCAGTCCCTATTTAGTTTCTCAAGCATTTAGGTTATAAATTGTTACAAATGGTACCAATTTTTAGAATAAAGAGCTGAAGTTGGTTTTTATTTATTTATTTATTTAATTTTATAACTGTTTTTTAGGTCAACACAAAAAAGCATTCGCCAGAGGTTCTAGTTGCTGCAATATATTCTTGGCTGTTTCTTCTTACAAGCATGGAGGGATGGAGACTCAGCCACAACTCTTGGAATGGGTAAAATGTTAACTCAAAATAATCAGATATTCTTTTTCCAATTGTAACCTTTAATCAACTAAAATATATTTTCTAAAAAAATTCATGCAATATTTAAATAGTAGTTTTGAATGAAACTCTAAATTATTATTATTATTTTTTTAAGATAAAGGACATGGATGATAAATGCAATCTGTTTCTCTCTCTTTTTTGTTCCAGAAATCTTTTACTCCATAACTTGAATCATATGTCATGCATGATGCATATCAATCATTGACGATCCTTATAGATTGAATTATGTTATTATAGCACTGTTCTAATATAAGCAAATTGATACAGGGCCGTTTGCTACTTCTCAAACCTATTAGAGCACAGTGATAAATTAGTGCGTGTAGCAGCTTGTGAAGCGCTGGCCTTAATATATGAAACTGGAAATCTTGATAAGTTTTGGAAGGAAGCAAAGGATCACAGCAACTATTCACATATGCAACAATCACTGAGAGAAAATGTTTTAAAGAAATTAAAGTGTCTTTATTTGGACACTAGAAGTGAGAATATTACAAAAAAAGTCTGCGAAGTTGTGAATTATTTTGAGGTAATGGTCAATTTCATGTTTTCTTTTTTTCCTCTGCCAGTACATTAAGATAAAAACCTTAAAGAGTGATTTGTTCATATATCAGAGTTTTCAATGTTTGGGAACATCTTTAACAATCAATGGAAAAGACCTGAAGTTGTCATCATGGTACCAAATGATTCAGGTAATTGCATGTTTTATATTTCTTATTATTATTTGTTTATAAGTTTCAACATTTGTATGATTTGCAAAGTTTTCTAATTACTGTCTTATTTTTTCTGTTTTGAAAAATATTTTATCAACAGTTGCAGTTTTTGAAGAATTTTTTAAATGATGGATTCAAAACACATATGAAGGTTGGTTTTCCATCTTACTGATTTTCTCAGCATTCTTATTATTTTAAGTAGGAGTAACATTTTTTTTTTTTTGGAACAGGAAAATGAGAAACTTCAACATTTGTTTGAATTCAATCCACGTAGAATAAAGAATTTAGGTCCAGAACTCTATGTATCTACCACTGATAAGGTTGGTAATCTCTCTGTATTTCTCTTAGTTTGATTTTTGCATCATCTTTGATAAATCTTAATGTTGAATTTGAAGTTTGTCAACTATATCATGTATGTACAATTTGGGCAGCACATTTCGTTTCTTTTGTTTCATATTGGAGATTTTTTTTACTTTTTTATATAGTGGTTGCTAAACTCAGGATATTTTTAGCCCATAATTTTGTTGAAGATATATCAACCATCATAGTTCATTGTCTATTGATATTTTAATCTTTTAAATGTATTGTGGTCAGTTTGAGGCATTATTGTTCTAATCCCCATTAAACTTAAATTTACAGATTACTGTCCGTTTCTTTTTACCTGAAGAAAGAAATGCTGAAACACTGACGAAGGAAAATAAAAAGAAAGAGAGAGTTTGGGTATGCTTCTATTTCTTTTGTTACGTTTGGACTGTTTTCTCCATAGGGCCAAAACTTTTGGATGAATATATAATTCCAAAAAGTAGTCCAATCCTTAACCAAACTGGGACATTTGCACTAACATTTGCATCATGTGCAGAGGAATTCTCTTCTGGAGAAGGCAAGAACACAATTAATGAGCAAGCATCGTCGCGTGTCAGAGGTAATACTCGCACTACTTTCCTTTGCTGACAGTTTAACCGTCTTGCAGTTATAAAAAGAAAATCGTGTATATTCCCCAAAAGTGCTTACCAAAATACTACCTTGAAATGTTGGGAGTACTTCTCACACATTACTCTTCTTTCTGCAGGAAATGAACTGCTGCGACTATGATTGACGGTGGAAGTGAGCACTTGCATGTTAAGTTTCATGGGTCTTATTTCTACATTTTAGGAGAATTAACCATTCTTTTTGGGTACAAGAATTGTTGTATACTTTATTTACTAGTATTACAATAAAGATATCTTCCGCTTATTATTATTTATCAGTCGCTTTTCATTCATTAAAGTTTATATATTCGACCTAAGAAGATTTAGTGGATTCTTAAAATGCTGAAGAAACGGCAGTTGGGCTTGAGACAATAAAGTCGAGCCATTCTGACCCTCCCATGGAAGTAGAGAAAACGTAGGAAGATAATTTGCCACCCTGTCCTGTATCTTGTTTTTTTAACTTTTGCTTTAGGCTCTCCCTTTGCATTGGACGGGCCTGTCTGTGTCCATGTTACACTTGGACTAACTTTATCAACATATTTTCAAGATTAATTTAGATGTTTAATCTGTCTCAATCCCATTACACAAACATCTGGGAACCATGGGAAAGATCTATCAGTCTTTTCCCTGTCTTCCCCTAGTGGCATACATCATGAACTGCATAATTATTAGTTAACCTCAATTCATCCCATATTCATTACCTTAAATGTACTAAGCCTGCAAACTGACCTATTATCCATACATAACGAAAGATTCTTACATATAACGGATATATACAATACACTTCTCACAATAAACTCCTCGAATGTCGGTTACCTGATCAATTATTATAAGAGAAATGTTACATGCATATGTCCTGAGTATAAGCATTTTTCGTACATAACAAGGCGTGCATGAAACTTTCTTCTATTAGTTTAGAGAATACCCATCTTAGGCCTAATTACAGCTGCAACAAATCTTAGCCTAAGGGGAAAATATGTTATCACCACAGGAACATTTCCACACCTGTGGATAGTACTCGTTCTCTACCAATGCCATTGCTCGGACTGATACTTGAACTGGCATGCAAGGCTCGCACTGGTTACACTTTAAATGGCAAGTAGCCGGAAACGACCCTCTCCTTCCCTTTTTAACAATCCGTCGAGGCGGCTCATTCGGCATTGGCATCCCAACAACAGCCTAAACAAAATTGAAACATGGATTTAATATTTCACATTGCACCAGAAAAAGAAAAGGGTAAAGAGCAAAGTTACAGTGCAAAGCGTGGTATGAACTCACCAGTGAAGGTGATGGAGAGTTGGCTAAGTTGCTCGAGTGAACCAAGCAAGAGGAGATGAGCATGGTGAGCACGAGGGCAAACATTAACGTTCTGGGATTTGCTTCTTGTTGCATTTTTCTCAATTTGTTGTTTTTGCGAATTGAAAACCAACAGCAAAATACTCTCTGGGTTTCTATAAAAGCTTATTTCTTTTCTAGCTTTTTTTTCTTCTAGTTAAATTGAAATTGTTGAATTGGTCTGGTAGGGTGAGTGAGTGTGATGCTGCAGTGGTTGAAACATTTTTCTGAAGTAGTCAAGATGCTCCGCACGTGTTAGTTCTGAGAGAAGCAGGGTGGTCACGTGCATATGACAACACGCCATGCTGGTTTGGTATTTTTGAGAAGCAGAGAGGAATTCATCCTTGAAATCCAGCCGTTCATGTTTGATTCTTACGCACTGATCAAAACTGTATCATTAACGTTCATGTCAATATCTACAACCACCCAAAACCCACACATTTGGTGAGATAATTGGAAAAAGTTCAAAGAAAAGGTTTTAGGTGTATCTAGTGAAGATTTTAAACTAATAGGATGAAATTACAAAAGAAATTTTGCTTCTGCAACCACAAAAATAACAGAATGAATTACAAAGTTGTCAAAATTACAAGAAGACAAATTGTCCTGCAGAGCAGTGTTGATTACTTTGATGGCATTACACCTCCTGTGGCAAGAAGAGACCTATCTGGCCTGAAGATCTTCTATATCAGTTAAGAGAACTGTGTTCTCAATTGACCTCTTGTTCACAACCAACTGCCCACATGCTCCACTTATGTCCTGACCCATTTCCTTACGAACTGTTGTTCGGATGCCATAAGTACCTCGTAAGATTTTCTGGAAACTCGATACTTTCTCTTCGTTACTGGTGCTGAACTTACTCAGATCACCAATTGGATTAAAGGGTATTAGATTAACCACCTGTGTGACCGGAAACAACAAATGCAACATTTATTTATTGGGATATGATACACAAAGATACACGCACACAAAAAAGGGAAATAGAAATTCATCAAATGCTGCCAGTTCAGAGATAAAAACACACCACTTGAAATGTCTCTAGCAATTTCCCGAGCTGGTGTGCATTTTGCTCTTCATCATTCACTCCATCAAGCATTATGTACTCAATGAAGATCTTTTGCTGACTGAAGATTAAGGGCAACAGTGAGATTCTCTAGGAAAATGACAGTCAAAGTGTAGTTGTAAAGACACAAAAGCTAAAATAATTTACTAAAAGCATGAGGTGTAACAAAATTTTACGTGTTCTTTTGATATTCTTGTAGTGTATCCATAAGCTTTACTAAAGGAAAAGCTCGAGCTGCAGGCATTATCTGACAACGAATTTCTTGTACAGGGGCATGCAGTGAAACTGCTAAATTCAGCCCTGGAAGGTCAATATGAAGCTTTTTGATAGCATGAATAATGCCAACCTACAGAAGATTAGATGCACAACTGATAGACCAGTAAGCCAAACGTTTCTAGCACTTGAGAACTATTTCATAAGACTACTGCAACTATGATTCATTTCCATGCAACTGAAGACTTAGGAGAGCTTTGTACTACGTAATTACTTTCCATCTGCCATATAAAAGGAAAAGTGGCAGGGAAGGGATTGCATCTTAAGTTTCATCCATGGAGGTCCCCAATCCAGGCCATCATAGAAAAAACTAATTATGTAACCATATCTTCAGTTAAAGGGAAACGCTTTACCCATTCTGCCCCACTCTAAGAAGCCTGTATGTTATTGGTCCACAAACTCTAGACAAAATATCATGAACTAACAACAAGAAAAAAAAAATTACAAAACCTTGATTATAGAAGCATATAGAATGGTATGAGAAATTTATTAAATCCATCATATCCAAAGGCCTAGAACAATGGAGTGGTCTAAGTTTTGTTAGTGACTTCCAAGACAACTGTAATAATGGTGGGAATACATTTTTCATGGACAGAACCAAAAGAAATATGATATAACTTTAACCAAAAGTTGAGATTAACTGGGCTTATCATCAGTGTTTTAGTCTAGCTAATCTCACTTCTCAAAATAATGTTCCCTCATGAAAGAGTCCCTTGAATGGAAAATCAAGTAGCCAAACATAAAGCAGCTTTCTAAAGAACTTAATTGCATGAAACCTTAACTTCATGCATTTCCAGAGAGGATGGGGGAATTTTCTTACGAACCCTTTGAATACTGATGAGAAAAAAAAATAAAAAATCATAAAGAATCTTATACATAATAGCAGTTTGCAATGCGCACCGTGGACACAGTAATTTTCTTTGGCGACAAATGAAATGGTGGTCCAGTCATGACATGAATCGCTTCCACTAAGGCGCCATAGTTATTCAATGGTTCCCCCATTCCCTGACAAAAGAACCAAAGTTTTGAAAAGATCACTTATTTCTTCCACATACATAACAAATCATTCCAATAGAAACAAATAAGTAAGCAAGTAAAGATCAAGAAATTACCATGAAAACAACATTGCGTATAGGCGAAATACGAGAAGCATGAACCAGTTGCTCCACAATCTCCCCCGAGGTCAGATTACTCTTAAACCCCATACTCCCAGTGGCACAGAATGTGCAACCCATTTTGCAACCAACCTATTAACATCAACAGAAACATTCAAAAGCAAGCATTTTTAACAAAAATCAAAATTTCAAAACTCAATACCTGAGATGATACGCACAAGGTGGATCTCATTCCACCAGGGCGGGGCTTCCCATTGTACTTTCCCAAGCGGGTATCGTACCTCATAATCACAGCCTCCACAAGAGCCCCATTCTAATAAAAAACAACAAACAATGCGTAAGTCTCTCTCATTTAAGCATTTTATCAAATGGGTTGTGTGCAAAAGGAGAAAAGCGCAAACCTGGAGCTTTATAAGGAGCTTGGTGGTGAGTTGGTCTGAGGAATTCATGGCCGAGTGGACACAGGAGGTAAGGGTTTTGAACTTTGAGGTTAGAAGAGGGTACGCGGCGGAGGGTAAAGACGGAATTTGGTCCAATTGGGCGTCGGGGTTTTGGATCACCTGCTTCCATATGTAGGGGATAAAGCTAGGCTTGACCCCGGACTTTTCCAGTTCTGATTTCAGCTCTCCCGCGTCGAAGATTGATCGAAACGACATCGTATTTTTTCCACTTTGCATAATTTTGAGCGTCGGCTGGGTGTTGCAGTGGCGGGGACGAAGTGTTGCTTATGGCTCTGTTGTGAAATCGTGCATGGAAAAGCGTTTGAAGAACTCCGAAACGACGTCGTGTGTACAACTTTTACTTATATAATATTGTCCTTGTTGATAAGATGATCAAAACGCCGTCGTGGCGAACTTTAGTTCTTAAGATTTATGTGCAAATATATTGAAAAAATATAATAAATGAAAATCGAAATTACGTGTTTTTAATCATATAAAAATTAACGTGTTTTTAAGAAATGCTAGGCTAGTTGGTTAGGGCAGTGAGCTTATTAAGTTCACCCAAATTGGAGTCACCCTCATATTAATTTAGAGTAATTTAGATTATCGCTTATATTTATAAAAATAAAAAAAAGATAATATCAAAGCACACAAAAACCTAAAGCATAATAAACAAAGAATTTGAACTCTTTTTACATATAACATTCACTTAGAAATTTAGAAAATGGTTTATTTCTGTTGGAATTTTAGTTCACAATAAGAAAAGAATTATATATTGTCATATCTCATATGTTATCTTCCAAAACATGTATATATTTGACAAGGCCTCTAAAAGTGTTGTGTTTGACCATAATACTACATTGTGGGTGTAGGTATATGTACAATAATAGAAATGAGAAATGCTAGCTATCTTCTCTTTTGTACATTCTTTATCATTTGCTCATCATTAGGCTCGAAAAATGTCTCATCTAAACTACACTTTAAACTATTTCAATCATCATTTAACATTGCAAAATGAAAAGGAAAATGAATACGGCATAAGGCACTACTACAAAAATCGAAATAGACGACGGTAATCCACCGTCGTGTATTCGGTTTTTCAACCGTCGTGAAATCGACTGACATCTTTTGATGCATAAAACCACGACGGTAAATCCCCGTCGTCTATTATTTATAAAGACGACGCTTTTACTCAAAACTGTCGTCTATTATATATAAATAGACGACGCTTTTACTCAAAACCGTCATCTTTACTTCATAATAGACGACCTTTTTTATAAAAAAAACCGTCATCTTTACTTAATAATAGACGACCCTTTTTATCAAAAAAACCGTCGTCTTTACTTCATAATAGACGACCATTTTCATATAAAAAGGGTCGTCTTTACATATAATAGACGACGTTTTTTTTAAGAACTTTCGTCTATTTGATGTAAAAACGATGGTTTTTGTTAAAGAACTATGTTTTATTATATCCAAAGACGTCGGTTTTATTAAAAAGCCATCATCTATTAAATGTGAAGACGATGATTTCTTGAAATATTGTCGTCTATTAACTCTAAGACAACGATTTTTTAGTAAAACCGTCGTTGATTGTATATAAAAAAGATGTTATGGTGTTAAAAGAGGTCATTGATAATATATACAGATGATGGTTTTTCCAATAAAACCATTGTTTTATTATCTTTAGTTTTTTGAAGAGTCAATAGTTATTACATAGTCAACCAATCTTTATTCTATTACATACATACTTCCTACCTATAATTAGAAATAACGGAGCTCACAAATTCTACTAATTTGATTTTAACTTCATCAATTTGTTCTTGGGTTGACTTAGCTCTGCCTTCTTGCACATTTTCCAAGTTGTTGGTGTCGGAAAAGGAAAGACCTGCACGAAAGAGACCCCAATACTCTTAAACATAAACTTGTTTAGTAATAACCTAACCTTAGCAAAAAGATCTATGCAGCTCTAGAATGACAGCAGAACACAATTGGCATAATTGGCAAAGTACCTGTTCTTGTGGTGGCACCATAAC